TATATTCAAAATCACTGAGTGTGGAATTCACTTCTATTTTGCTTAAGACTCTAAACGTTTCCGACTGCCCGAAAAAAGCCTGAGGGACATTGTATACCAAAGCCAAAGAAAACAAGGAGGAACTGAGACTCGGTTTTCTCCAGGAACCAGAGGCTAGGTCTGGAACTCTACTTGCGGCTGGATAAACGTGTCCATATGTTTCCTACATCTGGAATATTAAGGTTTGAAAGTGATGCGTCATCTGGAACACTATATTGGGATTAATAGTCGATGACTCTGGAAATCCGTAGACACGAAACTCAGTGCTTTAATAGTCAGTCAGTCTGGAACTCTTTGTGTTGCCTCCAAGAAAGTTGCACAAGTTTTAGCTTCATGGAAAACACTAACATACAATCATATGTGGGATCCTCTTGCGAAAAAAAAAGAAGTTGCCCAATTGTTCTTTCTGGAAACTCTCAAACAAACTGTGAGAAGAACGAGGCAGTTGTGTGACTTTGTGAGACTAGATAGCCTGTCTCAGGTCCCCTGGAACAGTCCACGTCTCAGCCCTGGCGTCAAGGTGATGGTTTTCTTTCTGTAGTTTGGGCTGAAGTGGGAGGACTACTGATCATTTCGGAAAGAGAAGGAACACGGTGACGCTGGTAGGTACAACATTTCCTCTCTTTACTAATTACACAGACTGATATATAAGAAGATATCCCGCTGAACTAAATTACAACATTGTACACTGTATCTAATGTGTGTGTGTGTGTGTGTGTAGTGGTAAGTGTTTGATGACAGGAAAAAGTGAGTTGACGCGGCCTGTTGTACTCTCATGTTAACACTATACAATAATAATAATAATAATGACAACAACAATGACAACTCCACAATTAGAGCATACAGGAACGCTTTCGATTACCTGAAGAACTAGTGACCTTTGACTTGTAGGAGAGCGCTTGGAGCTCCTATGTAAAGGTAGGTTGGCAACCTTGACACCTTGACATCAGGTATTCATAGCAAGCAAGCGTGGAAAATGGCCGTAAAATAAAGATGATGATGATGATTCGTACGCCAAGTTTCGGTCATCTAGATTCGTTCACTAAGTTTCGTTTTTACAAGACTTTTAAATATTAAGTAAACCTGTTCTTTCAGATTTAAAATCATCTGAATACGTAAACACACTGTTAAGGAGCAAAATCTCCAACTTACGAAAGACTGTTGCGCAATTATTCTTTAACAGTGAGGCAATTACAACATCTCTCTCTCTCTCTCTCTCTCTCTCTCTCTCACTTCTCTCTCACTCTGTCTATCTCTCCTCACTTTCTCTCTCTTCTCTCTCACAAAACATAACACGCAAAACGTATCTTACACATAAGAGTTATTCTGTGTTATAATAATTATCCATCTAACCTCACTTTTCTTTCCCTTTTATATGAAATGGTTGCAGGGACAAGGCGAAGGGCGAAAGAGAAAGGGAAGAATACAGTAGAACGGTGCAAAACAAGTGTAGAAAGATAGAGGAAAAGGTTAAATGGAGTAGACACACACATACACACGCACACACCACTCAGTGATTGTACAGTGGGAGTTGAGCCTCTTGGCCAGTCTTAACGAACAATAATACTATTTTTATGAAGTTTAAGACTAATTAAACATTATGAATAATTAAGAGGTGACATTGGACAAACTTTTACAGTGGTGTTGACATAATCACCGTTGTTACCTGGAGACCTGACCACTAGTACTTACACACCTACACCACGGCGTTATGTGTTACGGATACTCTCTCTCCCTCTCTCTCTCTCTCTCTCTCTCTCTCTCTCTCTCTCACTTCTCTCTCACTCTGTCTATCTCTCTTCTCTCTCACAAAACATAACACGCAAAACGCATCTTACACATAAGAGTTTCTCCTCAGTTTTTTTTTCTTATGCCTTATCTTCATCATCATCACATTTTCTTATATAAATGTTTAAACTTTCCCATTTTCTCTACATTCTTTAATTTATCATTCTCTTCCAATCTAAAACTTTCCTTCGCCTTTGTTACCCTCTCCGTTACACCTCTTCGTAAATTTCGCAATGCCAGAGGAAGAATTATTCACGATTGTCTTCATAATAATAACAATAGCTACTTTTCCTGTCGGCGTAAGAGGGATTTTATTTTTTACCAGCGTCAGTACAGTTCCTGGGTACTTAGTGTGTAATGTGAGGAGAGAATGATGTTTACCTGTCCCTAATTAGTCATTACACCCTCCTCCCCTCCCCGTGACCACACCTTGGTTTTGGGGGGCACTAGATACCTTCTAGTGGTAAGCCGATGTGTGTGTGTACGGACGTCAGCCAATCAGCTTCTCCCCTCATGGAATAAAAATCTCCGACAAGACCAATCAGTATTCAGCTCGTTTTCACTTTTCCACTCAGTGTTGACCTTGAAGGGAAATTCCACTGACTCAGAGAAACTGGGTCAAAGGGTGTGTGTGTGTGTGTGTGTGTGTGTGTGTGCGTGCGTGTGTGCGTGTGTGTGTGTGTCATAGTGGTGTTGTGAAATGTGGGATAACTTATATTATTTTTGTATATCTAATTCACTAGGTAGTAAGTTGTGGTAGATTATGGTTGGTTGGTTGGTTAGGTTAAGTTAGGTTAGGTTAACATTTCTTGAAGGAAAATCAATACCACCGCTTAAGTCAATTACCTTTCCCTCCATAAATCCCAAAACTCAGTCAAGTCGGTAAAGGCGGACTAAACGCTGTCCAAAGATAAAATAGACAAATTCTGACCAGGTCGTAGGAAGAAATTGAGGATCTATAAAATGGCTGAATTTCCTAAGGTATCGTTGTCTTAAGAGTGGCAAGGAGGAAAATTTATCTGGCATTAAACTAAGTCTCGTCCATCGAATGTGCCAAGTTTAAGGGTTATTAAATTTCGCTAGAAAGGTAAGGATTTTTAACGGAGACTTTAGCGAAAATCCACTCTTATATAACTTATGTATAGGAAGTGTGTTTATATTGTGTGGGATATATTTTTGTGAAAATTTATGTAATATTGGCGAATTTTAGATAATTTGGGTAGTTAATGAAAGTATAGAAAGTTAACGTAGTGTCATACCAGGAATATAAGGTCCAACATAATACACAAATAAATTAAAACTAATTAGACACAGAACAAATGGTATTTTCCAACGCTAAAACTATTTAATAAAACGTAACACAGTACAATGCGACGCAACACAACACAACACAACCCAACACAACATAACACTCACCACCTTTCCTCACTTTCGCTAACCACATCTATCTCAATCTTCCTTCGCCACAGTCAGTAAGGTCAACGTCATTCATTGTGGTGTCAGTAAGGTGGGAGTGGAGGCGGTCCCGAGAATTACTTCATTTCTCGTTTAAGTCAACGAGAAGCGGAGGGAAGTGTGAATGAAGGCACAATAATTTGCTGTGGAGATATACAGTATGTCTTGGGGGGAGGAGGAGGAGGAGGAAAGTGAGAATAAGAAAGTGAGAGGAGCAGAAAGGAGGAGAAATAGGAGAAGCACGGAGGAATAGGACAATAAACACGGAGGAGGAGGAGGAGGAGAAGAAGCAGAGGGAGGAAGAGGTAGTGGAAGGAAGAGTGGTGAATGAAAAGAGGAGTGAAGTAGGTGGATAAATGGAGAGGGAAGGAGAAATTACGACAGGGAGAGAGAGAGAGAGAGAGACCTGGATCAACATCTGTCAACTTGTACACACAACCGAAAACTAGAGAGGTAAATTAAAACCCATAATAACCTTCACTAAAGACCTTTAAAAAAAAAAACTCAAGCAACACCACATGAACCCGTCAGTACCGGATTAGTTAAAAATAAAACAAAATTTCATGGTTTTATAAAGAACAACAGAAACCTTAAAGAAACCAATACGATTTTTTTTTTTGCTACACCTTCGTTTCCCAATAGCAGGAAATAGAAAAATGACCCGGTTGTGAATTCATAGATACAACCAACATAAAAATGATTATTATTTTTTGTCGGTTTTGGTTAGGTTGTGAGGTGATATATTGTGAGTTATAGAGATACTGAAATAATCTAGTACTTAACGAAGGTATATAATGAGTAAATACCTTATGCTAATTCAGACAGGTATAGGTTAATTGTTCACAGGTATTCAGGATACAACTCACAACACACTTATCAGTCTACAGACTCTACAGAATGTCTACAGAGTCTTTACAGTCTCTAAAGCGTCTACAGAGTGACTATAGAGTGTTTACAGAGTGTCTACATGCAGGTTCTACAGTTTTTAAGTACATCTATAGTATTTCCACACCTCAGTGATCAAGAACACAGGAGAATAAATCTCTTGAAAAAAATCTTAGTGGCACCGAAACACAACACACACACACCTTAGTGACGTCAATGGCCCTCACACAATATGACCCTATTACCACCTTGGCATTATGTAAGGGGTCACATGTCACCCACTGTTTACAGCACCTGGCCTTCCTTAAACGAGTTCATGATAAAACCTACCGTATTTATAATGAATGTTCTCCTTATCGTATGAATTAATCTTACATGTGAGAAGATTACACTTGTTTATTTTATATTTATCTATAATGTTTAAGTGTATAGTATATAGATATTAATTACTAAATATATCGGTGAAATATATTTATTAAAGAAACTAAATAATGAGTTTAAATCGTCTTGGGAAAATATTAATGAAGAGTTTTGTTATTTTCTAAGTTTTTTTTTCCTAGTAGAAGCCGCGATGTCCTATCTATTTAGTATTATATATCTTTATCTGGATTATCATACAGAAAAAAATATCTATCTTAATTTATAAAACTTATCTAGTAGTGAATCGGTAAGGCCTAGTAAGCTGTTTAATAATCCTGAGATGAACACAAATTATAAAACAAAATACTATGTCAAAGAACAAATTAATTCTTCCTTGGAGGAGAAACAACTACAAACCTCCCTACAAAAAAAATTAAGTAATTGTATGTAGTGAGTAATGCAAGTAATCCGAGTTAAGATATAAAAAAATCCTCAAAGTTAATTAAATTCCTTCAACATGATATATGAGTGATGATGTGTTTGTGTGTTTGTCTGTTTGTGTTTGTGTTTGTGTGTATGTGTATTATTTTACTTGTCACATACCTACCATAACCCCTACAATACCTACCATAACCCCTATCACACCTACCATAACCCCTACCACACCTACCACAACACCTACCACACCAACCACAACACCTACCACACCTACCACACCAACCACACCTGCCACAATACCTACAACAACACCCACCACACCAACCACAACACCTACCACACCTACCACAACATCAGTGACATCAGCGACAAGTGGTAGTGACTGGTCCATTGTACACCCGAAGGAAAGACTTGATTTCTATCGCTGTCTGTGTGAATAAATTAATACGTCAGGAACAGCACCTTCCTGAGTCACAATGCTTCGTACAGTTTCATAAATTCTCGAATGTGATAAGAGGAGAACATATGCACTCGCTATATTTTCTCAGTGATAAAATTTGACGTATGTGTATTTTTTTTACTATCAACCCTTGTCATGTCTGTTATCAACCCTTGTCATGTCTGTTGTCAACCCTTGTCATGTCTGTTATCAACCCTTGTCATGTCTGTTTTATAT